CACCAGAAGCAGACCACCCCTAAAATGAAGAAAATGTCCCTGCCCAGAAAAGTAGCCATTTTGAAAAACCATCCCTCTGCAAAACGGCGAAATAGTGCTATTTTCAGACCCGACTGCATCCCAAATTACTCAGAATTTGAAGCCCAGAGACCGGGCGAGGGGTTCAGTGCCATATTTCTCCAATTCCTCAATTTCATGGCTCTCAGGACTCTCTAATATAGAATTTTTGAATGTATAATTTTTATTAATGAGCTTGGCGGACATATTTAGGGCCTTTTTGCGAGGTGCACCCCTCTGGTTGAATTATGGCACCTTATCTGGATCCTTCCATCATTATCTCAATCTTCGGTGCAGTGAGATACCACAAAGCTGAAGTGCAACCCCAAAGTTCCTATCCACAAGCCAAGTTCTTGCCAGCATAGCAGACCAGGGTTAAGACCCTTGCTCGTTCGTTTAGCAATTCTGCAAGCCAAATTCTCACCAGCATAGCATTGTGTTGGACCAGGGTTAAGACCCTTGCTCGTTCTTTTGTGATTCCGCAAGCCAAGTTCTCATTGGCATAGCATTGTGTAGACCAGGTTTAAGACCCTTACAGTTTCTTGTATGATTCTGTATGCCAAATTCTTGCGGAAACTCAAAACCAGTCTGTGCAGCTGTTGACGCTGTTAAGAGTAGAGAGGGCTCTCAAGGAGCTGAACAGTGCTGAAAAGTATGTCAGTTGGTTTTTAGAAAGTCCTGAAAGAAGAAAAAAACGTTGCAAAACGAAGTCCCAAGGATAAGAAATTGAAGCGCAGGTGCCCTTCTGTGGCAGATCTTTTCCCAACTGCAGTTGATATAGCCAGAAGCTTTGTTGAAAGGCTTTAGAGCTCATAGGAGACACCAAGATGAGACCGGAATGTGTGGGTCCACCATACCACAGATCAAGCAACATCTGTTTCACGTTGTTCCAAATTTACAAGAAGAGAGGTAGAATCTTGGTGAAATTTGATACACTAGTAGGATTATTGTTCAAAACTTGGTCGTAAAATGTCAAAATCCGGTCATGCTACTTCGCGCCAACAAGCTTCAATACACACAAATAGTGTCAACAAAATGTCAACTGTTTTTCCATGCATTTTTATATTTAAAAAAAATTAATTAAGCTCCTATATATCATATTCCTGTATGATGTTTTTCTAAATGATAAAGGTGAATGGCACTGCTTGTGCAGCCTGATCAGCTGCTAGCTTGTTTTTGTTGTCAATAGAAAGACGCTAGAAAAGGTCAGAAACTTTCTGGAAATTATGGAAATGGGAATTCCTGAAATAATACAAATATATTTCATTTGAAATGGCATCCCGAACATCTGTGCTAGTTTTCTTTCCCCTGCAATGAGGACATGAGGACATTGAATATTACATTCATTTTAGCGCAGGTTTCGTTTCAGCAGTGCACAGGAATACCACAACTTCATTGATTCTCGTGTTCCTGCCAAGGAAAACTCAATTCAAAGGGACAACAACAATAGCCACTTCTACGTGGCAAGAGCGAGGTATGCCCTGGAACTGGCGTCGAAGTACAAAGACTCTGCCTTCATTTGCTCCCTGTGGAGTGACTGTGGGCACCCTGCATGAGGACACAAACTTTAACGTCTATTTCCGCAGCCCTCCCTGGAGAAAAGCCAATAGTCCATGCTTGCC